TTTTGACTATCCAGTTGAGTCGAGCTCTGATCATTTGTTGATATGGCTCCTGAAAACTTGAAGAGGCCTTAATTTCAATTGTTCTGTGTTATTCATGGTAGATCCGTAGAATAATTCACCGAGAGTTACAACCGAAGAAATGACCGTATACACTAGGCAGGTTTATGATGGATACGTTGTATGTGGTGATATATCTTGTGCATCCTATTTACTAGAAAACTTTAATGATATCCGTAAAAGCATTAATATAACTCAGTCGATTGCAATGACATCGATTCTATCAGGTCATTCTCGGCCTACATATTGACTCTTAGTGATTCAATGTTGAGAAGTGAATTATGAAAAGTAGAATCATTACATTATCGTCATCATCATTTATTATTTCCTTGAGTTGTAGGTGGAACATGGAGCTTCAACAGCTAATCTTCGTTTTGTCCTGTTCACCACAGTCCTCCTCATCTGATTCCACAATCTCCCATAAGCAGTTATTTCCACCCCACACTATCTCCTCCAAGTAATTCTCAAAGCAACGCCAAACTCGTCCTTTTTCCACTCAGGCTCCTCTCAAGGTTCATGCACGCAATGTCACTCAAAGCTCTTCTCAACTTATGTCCGATTATTCTCCATTTTATTCCGGATATTCATCGAGTTGCAGGTTATTGTCTATTTCGCTCACAGAATCCCCCGTTGCTTATCCCTTCTGATTGACCATATAATCTCCAGCCTCGAAATCATATGAAGTCACTGACTTATTTGACAGTAGTCTTGATAATCCGAAACTCGTTCATTGCACTTGATGTGGTAGACTTCCAGACTGATTGCAGGTCAATGCACGTCTGCTTTACTCTTCTGAGTCTGACTGGCTCTGACGTCTTCATGCATGAAGTCGCCTGCAGTTGAAACTATGCAGCCTAGATGGCCGTATGAAGTGACCTCCTTCAAATCTCACCTGTTTGATAGCGATTGATACTTGCAACTGTTTTGCGCTCGTAATTTCGTTTTGACTATCTAATCTTTACAATCCATTAAAAGTTTATCTTTATTTTCAATTGATTTACATTATTTCACAGCGTCACGTGTTTCTTTCTTAATACAGCGGAAACAACCAAGTGCGTTTCACTGACGACATAAAACAATGCAGATATAACGTCTGTTGTCACTTTCAGTTATACAATTAAAGAAGAGAAAAATGAAAATGTCACCAAGCTTTTCTTTGAATTTTCTTGCACACAGACAGGTATGTGACGCATGATGCTAAGAGGGGGCGAAATTGTTCATTGTTCAGTACATCAAATAAAATGAGTTCGATAACTTGTGACGAAGAATAAGTAAGCATGTGATGGTAAATAAACAAAATAAGTTTCACTGGCAAAAAATATTCTTTTGCATCATGTTATTACGGTGGATGATGACCAGTAGTGAAGTCCAGTAGATGGGCATTTCTTATGGTTTTGAACCTGTCCTTTGGATGCTCCAACCTCTTCAGTGAGAAGTAGCTTTCCGAATCATACACAAACTAAAATAATTTAAGCATCTTCATCATTCTGAGCTATTGTCACTTATAGCCCCCGCCCCCAATCAATAACTCAGAATGATAAAAGCTTCTTCACACCCCACTTTGTGACTTATATATTCTAATATTGTTTGGGTTATGTACCTCTGAAAAGAATCTTCAACTGTTTTCTTCTTATATTTTCAGATCTTCTCTTCACGTATGCACAAAACCATTAGAGTGTAATGAAGGCATCAGGTTGAATGGAACATGTGTGGTCATTTTTAAACACTGAAAACACATTTCTACAGAAAAAGACAAGCACTCTAAATCTTTATAAATGAACCACTTTCGTTGCCTTTTCCAGAGAAAAATAGTCACTCGCGCCATAGCTGACTGGATAATTGTCATGTTATACAAGTAAAAGCATATAAGTTAGCAAAATAGCCATTCCGAATGAATCCATTAAAAACAAGATAGCCAATAATTGAAGCTGAATTGTAAAAGTAAACCAGTAGCAAGGACTAAGTAGAATTCCCTACAGAACAATTCAGTAAGGCGAAATTTCCACTTAGGCCATGATTATTAGAAGGGGCTGGATAGGACGCTTCTACTTGTAAATTTCCGGTTTCTCATTGTGAATTGTGAGAATCTCAGTTGCATGAAACAGGTGTAAGTGAAATTCCCTATAAAGGCTTAATTTTGCTTAACATGTATAAATATAAATGAACTGGTTGCTTAGTCTGTGTGATTAGAATTGATAATGTGCTGTGCGTCGGTGGCACAGCGGTTATGACTCTCGCTGATTATTCACATGGTCCGGGGTTCGATCCCCTGCCGACGCACACCTGATATCTCTGATCAGCTTAAGTACACCTCTATGTGTATATTCTCATTCACAAGCTCGTGTGGAGCTGATTACATTGGACTTTATAGGCGTAATATCCGTAAACATGTAGTTGAACACTACCCGGTTTGGTTAATGAAAGTGAGAAAATGACGACAAAGTCTTCAATTTGTGAACACCTTCTGCAGTCAGGTCAATCAGCCCCACCTGATTTACCCTTTAAGGTTATCTACAGGACCAAATTCAATCCATTTAAAAGCTTACTTTTCACCACTTATGTATAGCTGAAGCTCTAGCTATACATGGACAAAAACTTAAATTATGTATTCAAAAATGTTTTGTCAAACCTCTTTCTTTACCTTGGTCATGATAATGTTCTTTTATTTTATTCTATTTTACCACTTGGATGCATTCCACTTCACTTTCGCCGTATTTATTGTTATCATTATCGTACTCTTAATTTTTCAGACAAAACCTGACCTACAATTTAAAATCTACATACCAGTTCACTTATTTAATAATAATCTTTAAAAGTTTTGTAATTCATCCACTTCAACTCTACCTCCTTAGTACATCACTGTTATTATCTGTATTCTTATCATATGTGCAATATTGATTGAGCAATTTCTAGTGTCACTTAATGCCTTTTTCCATAATATAAATACGACTGAACAGCTTGAAAATGAAGTCATTGAAAAGAGATACTTTTTCGTTGAACAAAAAACTGTGTTTCTTCTTATGAATTAACACCTTTTAAGCACGAAATCAATCCAAAAGAAGTGATAACCAATCAGATGAAGATAAAGGGTTCAAAGAGTAGAAACAAATCAGTAAACAATTCTGATCAAATAGGTAACATCAACCAAGGGTGTTATTTATCTCGGTAGTTTATTAGCAGTCTTATCAGAGACCATGTGAGTGACTAGAAAACTCTCAGTTTGACAGCCATACTCAGTACCCTGGAAAAGGGACGAAATCAGTCTTCTGTCGACTGACGCCTAATACCAACTATTCATGAAAGTGACTTTAATATTGCCTTTAAACGCACCTCACGAAACAGGCTGGATCATATGAATGAATCTGTTGAAGTCCTATCTATAAAAGACCCAAATTTGATCTATGTATTCAATTACGTGTGCCTTTGTAATGCACTTTCCAAAGTGAGACCTATTCACGCACTGCTAGTTCCGCCAATCTGTTTCCTCATCTCTCCTCGATCTCCCCCTGCAACTTATTTTTTTCATATGTAATAACCTATAATGTGATCAGATAGAGTGTTCATATATATATTTAATTGTATTTTTTTTGTCGAGACTAGTGAAATCGCAGTAATTTCCGAAATTTTTACTTTTTCCTGAGGTACTTATACTCCAATATTTTGGGCTTTGCATTATTGCCATTTGTACTTTAGTTCTCTGCCTTCCAAGTGAAACATGGATCTCCAGGAGCCTATTCTACTTAGTTTTGTGTCTCTCCTTTCACCTGTCTCCACGACCGCTCAAAAATTTATATTACCATCTCAAAACACCTCATTGTTTTTAATCAGGGTTTCATTTGAAGTCCTAAAGTACGTTTTCCCTGCAGGTTTCCCTGGTGTTTGTCTAACTGATCTCATCATCTTTCTGCAGTTTCATTGGACACTAAGTGGTTGTCTGGTTCACTACCTGAGAGAGTTCTTTGTTTCTAGCCACTAGTGTCAAGTTTTTTCTTTTTTATATGGTTTTAATAGACTTGGAACACTACTTAATGTATTTAAAGAATACACGATAAGTCAAAAGTAATTTTGACAGCAAATCAGCCAACAACCCATTACACAACAAACCTATACGAAGAATTGGAGGTGGAGTGTACATACACAGAAGAAACATTCAAGTTACACTACACACTACTCTGACCTTCATTCAGAACTTGAATCAGCAGTGATGGGTTGGGCGTGAGATGATGACACTCAGAAGATTATCTGAGGACACATTGAACGAAAGCGCTTGTGGGTAGTAGTCTGACCAGCTGAAAGTGATAGCTGACAATCGTTCGAGAGGATTGGAGATGTGCCACTGAACTTTTATGTTTCACACAAGGAGCACAAGGAATAAACATTTATTTACGTAATAATAATTTGCATACTTGCCAGTGAATTTTAATTTCCTGTAGTTATTTTCTGCTTGTTTCTAAAGTGTCTTATCACTGCTAAAATGTTGTAGTTCAAAATACAATCTGATCAGTATGTCTTCAGTTTATATCCCCACAGTTACACATAACTGTTATGGGGTAAGTTTCTAAGATATAAAGTGTGAGATATTGATTAAATGACTATGAAAAATAAGGACAACAGCAGATCTGGGAACCGCCTATGCTCAACACTTGGGTTAGGCAGAAGTGTAGAGACTGTAACTACATGTATGTTGTGATTCATTTCAGGCTTCATAATTCGTGGATTAAAAATTGAAGGAGACATTTGGGGTCAACACATGCGCCCTTAGACGTCATACCTTCAGCTCTAAACGTGTATATTAGAGTTCTCTCAAATATCATTTCGTACAGGTTTAAATTTTCTATGCATATATACTCACTTAGTCTGATCAATGCGTAGGCTTACCACACATGCATAGCATGCATTTATAAATAGTTTGATGACGCTAAAATACATTCCTTATTTTTAAACAAAAATGCATCTGATTGATTCACTACAAACACAGACTCACACACAGACACACACTCACACACACACGTAAATCAATTACCACATTAAAACTTGGTGATTGGAGTTGTGTTCTGTTTTCCAGTTTCTTCAGAAAAAACCATTTTTAAGTGTAGAGCACCTTTTAATGGATTTATTTTTAAGTGATTTTACGCCACAAACAGAATGTTGAAAATTTTGGTAAGTTGTGAGATCGAATCACTTTCACTACTATTATTGTCACTCTTATTATTATTATTACCGTTACTAAATCTTTGACAATGCAGGACACATGGTCTTTCGTAGAGACAGTTCAAATGATGTATATGAATAATGGCTACCATACAACAAAATGGATATCCAGTTTATAATTATGAGAGAATGTTGTAGATGTAGAGAAACACCCTTTCCATAGTGATGTCAGGAAAAGTTTCAATTCCTAATTAGACATTTAGAAGACAGAGAGATTGAGGAAAGAATATTCTTATATATGTCCAAACCAACTTGACCAATAATAGTCTGTAAACATTTGAGCATTGGTTATGTGATATATTCATTATATTCATGAAAGGCTTGTATTTCCCAATGAATGAAACACAAGACGATATTGCTTCCACTGACGTCTGCTACTTAATGCTCCTAATGGCTTTATCAAAGTGGTATTAAACCAGAATTCACAAAATCACAGATTATACACAATGATCTAGTCATAGTTCTTCAGCATGAGGTAGTTTTTATGTTATCAAGTTTCTAAACTTGTGAAGATAAGTAACGGTGTGCGGAGTGTTGGATTAGATGAGTGTATGAAACTATAGAAACAGCATGTGTTTACATAATCGAATTGATTATCACATTTGTGTTGATTTTGTCAATTCATGAGAGTGTGTGGGTGTTGGAACTAGGTCAGAGTCTGTCGTAGTCGTTCTTATTCCTTTTCAGATTATTTGGATTCCATTTATTATAAAGTGCTTCTGATATGAGACATATTTGTAATTTCTGAAATTTTTCCGGATCTGACCACTGCTAAAAACCACGGAATACTGGGCAGCTGTTTCATTCCAGTTTGTGAATCATCGACAGCACGCACCCACTGGGTCATTCCAGTCGAATGTGAGAATGGAATTCCCGACGATCACATCAGTTGGTGGTCGTGCTTAATCACGAATTGGTGGAAGTTAGAATTCATAGGCCATTCAGTTGGGTCCTAGTGGCTGAACGGTATACGAGCTTGCCTTCAGACTGGAAGTTTCCGGGTGCAAATATCAATGATTACCGAACTAGGGTGAAACAGCTATTCACTACTGATGTACTGGTTTGCAATGGTTTTCTAACTGAAATTGACCCATGCTCAAACTCGAAAAGCAAACTTAATCCTTACAAACCAACTCTTAAAGTATTGTTAAATCAATCAAGTGGTGCGATTCTATGGCGTGTTAACTGATTGCTGACATGTTTTTCCCTTTTTTTCTAGTTCAGCCGACAGATTACTACAGAATTTTACCTAATTTCATAAAGATGTCACAGTTTTCCCTTCCCTTATAAATCATTTCTAAATTTTTATCTTTTGATTTGCCTTTAATTTTTGCATTATTCTGCATCTTAAATTTTCGGGATATTTAATTTGATATTATGTACGTAAATAGTACCACTTACACATGCTTTTCAAACGTGGTCTGGTTATCTTAACAACTAGATATTCTTTAAGAGATATAAGTGTTTAACAATTACTCCTCGACTATATAGTATACCTAACTGTAGAACATGTCAAAAAGAATGTTTCTCACTCATTCTTGTCTCTTTTCTTTTAAAGTTTGAACTCATTGACGGTGGATCTTAACAGACATTAAGATTTTAAGTGACTGAGTAGTCAAAATATTCTCTGGAGTCATTAGGTCGCTATCAGAATGTGTTTTGAGGGTACTGCTGTACTCTGTTGAACTGTTTTACATAGACAGCAAACAGTCTTATGAACATTCTTGGTTGTACAGGTGTTGTTTGCAGGATATTCACCCAATGCCAAATGAAAATATTATCTCATTGTGTGACTCCTGTGGAATGAATCTGATCATACGGTAGATTACTTTAGTGACATTTAATTTGCAGCAACAAATTCCTGTTATGCGAATAGATCCACTGGAAATGGAATTTTATAAATGACCTACATAAAGAATCAAGTGTCTTCAGGCTATCCATCACTCCTTTCAGGCGTCATCTACTGCTACTACTACTACACAGGAGCGAACAGACATCAACTGCCCGCCTGTTCAGCCGTTTCACTTTATCGAGAAACCTCACTAAAACTAACTGGTCCATTGATCTACACAATTGTAACAGTAAGTGGAGGTAAGAGCGTAATACACGGTTCTGGTCCTCACTGAATTTCACAGATTTTGGTGCAAAAGAGACAGGCACAATTATTCATTGGAGGTCAGGTGTACTCCACAGCCGTCAATAGACGGACAAAGTAGTCAAAGTTTATCATAAAACTATAGCGATTATTGTGGCTAGATCATGCATGGGCTGTGCTTTTCTACTAACTCTCTACCTAAACGCAGGATTGATTTGGAAGAGAGATACATACAGTCAGAACATAAAGTGTTATTAATATATCAAATCGCTGATGGTTAGAAAGGCAGAAATGTAGGCTTTTGGTGTGGAATCCGTCTGGTATGAACTCAAATTGGTTACGGTGGTGCATGCATTACATCTCCGTTGCATTTATCCATACCTTCTGCATGATCAATACATGTGAGATTTTGTGCATCCATTCCTCATTAACGACTGACTAGATGGCAAAGAAATAGATGACTAAACAAACTGAATGAGTGAGTTACTAACTGTCTGACTATTCGCTTTCCTGCCAGCCTGCCTGCCTGCCTGATGGACTGACTAACTAATTGACTGACTAATTATAAGCCTTCACCAACTAGGCTTATTCAAAACTTAAGAAAACATTTTGTCTCAGCATTTTGACCCATAACTGAATAATTAAATCATAAGTGTGACTATATCACAATCGCTATTTTGTAGGACTAGATAGTGTGATAGATTAAGAGCTCGGCTGTTACTAATTAAAGTTCTACATTCTCAATTGATGATCTCAGTCTATCGATGTGTTGTATTAGGTGACCAAACCGGAAAGAAAAGCTAAACCACTTGTTTTATTGGCTAAATTCCACGCGTGGATATCAAATGTTCTCCATCATATTAGATAAAAACATAATACCCACTATCAATTATCTGCCGAATCACAGAAATAAAAATTTCCACCAAATCAAATAAAAGAAGACGTATTCAGCGAAGAGTCAGAGTTATTATTCTCAAACTGTACAAGCGCATATATATAGTACCTTATCATGGCAACAAAAGGTATCTTCCGAAAGACTTATCGTTAAATATGCAAGTTCTAGACGACAATAAGGATATAGAGGAAGCAATGGTCAGGTAAAAACTAAAATAAAACTAAATAGATGAATTGAATTGAGTAAAGCTGACATAACATTGAAACTGGGTCATGCTAAGATCCGTTTCACAATGACTACTCCTCATATGGTGGTAGTTGTGGGGAAAGAGAAAAATCTTATTAATAATTACTATTTAAAAAAAGGATTACCAAAATTTGCGCACTCAATTTTGAGACAAATTAGGTCGATTGTAGGTTGAGTGACTGAACAGATTTCTTCTATATGCAGAGTTGTGCATTTTAGGCGGGGATTCCTATCACTTGTGTAGTTTAAAGAAATTTGATCTGTACTACTTTAAAAAGCTTCTCACACATTATACTAATGACTTCAAGGGTGGCTTGCAAGTTGGCCTAGTGTTGAGAATCGACCAGGTGTTTCAGAATGGAACTGCAATGAGATCACCCCTGTCCTCCATTCGCATTTCCACATTTCTTCTCCTTGTAATTTCTGATCTTACCTTGACCCTGTTTCAATTCCTGCATTAGCTCTACTCAGTCCAGTCAGATATACTGTGTCACACAGTTTACTTATTTACTTTTAGTTGTAGACCGATTAGTGTAATTTGTATTACTTAATTGTTATCTAAAGCTAACAGTTTGACTAATAAACCTTTAGAAAAATTGTTTTTGCTGGTAAGGAAATGTACCATATGTTTGCGCAAGTATATCTTCAGAATGAGATTTTCGCTGAAAAGCCTAATTCTTCACTGAATACCTGTTCGCTTATACGAATCACAGCCGAAGACAAACGGCCTACCTTTTGGTTAAGCGTTTTATTAATACACAGTGTCGTATAGCTGTCACGGCAATTTTCAAACAGATTCCATAAGTTATATACTAACTAGGTGTGACGCTTAATTTTCAAAAATTTCACTCTTCTCATATAATCATAAATTATACGTTTCAAAAAACTGCACATGATTCAAAGCGCAGACATTCATAATGCTAAAACTGTTTTCTGATTCATAAACATTTTTTAGATGGTAGGGGGTAAAACCAGTTTTTAAATTTAGTCGAATTTCATCACTAAGCTTTATGTGTAGGCTCACTCAGAGTTGACTTCTGCATATGTGTATATATGCATATACGCATTACAGTTTGCTGTGTAAAAAACAGTGTTCAACCTTAGCTAATCGACGGGGCTGGGAACTTACCTGTTAAGTGGTGAATACTTATTTGGATGCAACTGACTGATAGGAAACAAAAGAATGACGATTCAAGAATGGGTTACACAACTCAAAGTAGAAAATTAAACGATCACACAAAGTCTATTATACAACAATTCAGCAAAAACAAAATTGACTCTTAGACCACGGAATTAATAAAACGTGAGGATAAAGTGTAGCTTCGACTGCATGTACATTATGAAGATGCAATTCTTTTGAAAGGTTCGATGTCACCTTATATATGACTCTGAATGAAGTCCGAGTTGATGCTACATGACCAGAGTTATGAATGTGCTGCTGCAGAAATGAACTGTTAACTATTATTCGTTCTTCTTGAGACAATCATGCTGCCAGGTGTTCATGAACTCGCCTAGAAAATTTTCTACCGGTTACTCGCTTTTTCAATTCTTCGTTCATCTGTTTACCATCTAGTGTTTTCAAATGAACATTCAACACTAAACTAATTAATTGTCAACCCTCTCTGGATTACGTAGGATTACTCACCTTTTCCACATTGTTACTTTTCATATACTTTGACGTGTCTGGTTACCGATAATAACGATAACGATAAT